TGGATCACCACATCAAAAACCAATGATGTGTTGTATGGTGACTAACATAACATAATAAAATTTAAAATAAAAGTCTTAATCCCTTCTTGAGTTAATTTTTATGAGTGGTGTAATAAAAGCGTCCAATATTGTTCGTTTGCATGTGAATACTTGGTTTTCCCAACGCAATTTATTGAAGAGACTAGACTTTTCCCATTGAGTATTCTTGGCACCCCCCGTCAAATATTAGTTGACCATATATGTGTGGGCTTATTTCTGGGATCTCCATTTTGTTCCATTTACCTGTGTATCTATTTTTATGCCAGTACTATACCATGTTGATAACTATAGGTTTGTAATAAAGTTGGAGATCCAGAATTGTGCTTCCCCCAGGTTTGTTCTTTCCTCTCAGAATTACTTTGGCTACTTGGGGTCTTTTGTGTTTCCATATAAATTTTGTGATTCCCCCCCCCCCATTTCTCTAAAAATAACCATTGGGATTTTCATAGGGATTGCATTGATTCTATAGATGGTTTGGGTAGTATGGACATTTTAACAATATTAATTCTTCCAATCCATGAATTTGGGATATCTTTTCCTTTCTTTGTGTGTTCTTCAATTCTTTTCATAAACATCATGCCATTTACAGTGTACGGATCACTCACCTACTTGATTAAATTTATTCTTAAGTATTTTATTATTTCTAATGCTATTGTAAATGAGATTCTTTTCTTTTTTTCTCTTTCAGAATGTTTGTTGTTAGGGTATAGAAATGCAACTGATTTTTAAAAAAAAAAATTTATTTATTTATTTGACAGAGACATAGAGAGCCCAAGTAGGCAGAGCAGCAGGCAGAGGAAGAGGGAGAAGCAGGCTCTCTGTTGAGCAGGGAGCCCGACGTGGGGCTCAATCCCAGGACCCTGGGATCATGACCTGAGCTGAAGGCAGCCACTTAACCAACTGAGCCACCCAGGCGCCCCAATGCAACTGATTTTTGTACATTGGTTATGTACCCTGTAACTTTACTGATTTTGCTTATTAGTTTTAACAGTATTTTGGTGGAGTCTTTAGGGTTTTTTATATATAAGATTATGTGATGTGCAAATAGAGACAGTTTTTTACTTCCTTTTTCCTATTATTTTCTGGCCTAATTGCTCTGGTTAGTATGTTGAATAAGAATGGATAGAGTGGGCACTCCTGACCATAGCAGAAAAGCTTTTAACCTTCCAACATTGACTATGATGTTAGCTGTTTGCTTATCATATAAAACTTTTATTATGATGAAATGTGTTCCTTTTATCCCATGTCTTGAGAGATTTTATCATGAAAGAATTATGGGATTCTGTCAAATTCTTTTTCTGCATCTATTGAGATAATCATATAATTTTTTTAAAGATTTTATTTATTTATTTGAAAGAGCGAGAGAGGGAGAGTGAGCACAGAGGGAGAGGGAGGAGCAAACTCCCCGCTGAGCAGGGAGCCCGATGTGGGGCTCGATCCCGGGAACCTGAGATCATAACCTGAGCAGAAGGCAGATGCTTAACCGACTGAGCCACCCAGGTGCCCCATATAATATTTAAATTATCTTCTATTAATGTTGTGTATCATACTTATTGTTTTGCATAAGTCAAATCATCCTCACGTCCCAGGGATGAATCCCATGGATTATGGTGTATAATGCTTTTCACGTGGTGTTGAATTTTATTTGCTTGCATTTTTTTCTTTCTTTTTTTTTTTTTAGTGGTTGGTCAGCTTACTAAAGATTTTATTTAGGATTTTAACTCCAAAGGGAGCTGGATCCAATATCTTCACCTGCATCCATTATCTTTACCCACATCTCCAATGGTGGGTTCATCTTTAAGCACAAAGGATGTTAGCAATAAATTTTATTGGGGAAAGAGGGTTTAAAATATGAGACTAGTCAGAAATAGCATACAAACTTCTCCACCTTTGCATGAATAGAGTAGGATTCTCCAACAAGCAGCCTAACACTTTTTGAGTTGCATCCAAGGTCATTAAAGTCCTCAGCTCTTGTTCCTGCACCAAACACCCTCCCTCCACTTCGTAGAAGATTCTGAGGCCTAATCAGACTAAAAAGTGAGCTAATACCGCCAACAAAATATTATTTACTTGCTTTAGTGCTTGCCCGAGTGTGTTTAAAAAACAAAGTGGGAAATTTTCTTGACTATAAATAGGGTTCTTTGATTATTTTGGTGTTTGCTTGCTAATAAAGATTTGTAGATGGGGCAAAATTTGGTCTGAGATTTCAGTTCACCTGAAGCAAGGCTATGACAAAAAAAAAAAAAAAACCTGAAAAAATATGAATAACCAAACTAGCTTGGATAAATCTGCAACAGAAAGGTCTATTTTACTTGTTGCCAATATAATTCTCATATAATACACAAATCAGTATTGTTTCCTCAAACACTTAACTTCTTTGAAACATGTTTTAAATTGTAGAAAGAAATCGTTAGCAAATATTATTTTTAGGTCCTGAAATAATTACTTAAGGTTATCTTCAATGAATGACCTTACTATATTCTAAAACAGCTTTATACAAATTTTGTTTTTTATTTTTTTAAGATTTTTACTTATGTATTTGACAGAGAGAGAGAGAGAGCACAAGCAGGGGGAGCAGCAGGCAGAGGGAGAGGGAGAAACAGACTCCCCTCTGAGCAGGGAGCCTGATGTGGGGCTTGATCCCAGAACCCGAGATCATGACCTGAGCTGAAGGCAGATGCTTAGCCAACTGAGCCACACAGGTGCCCCAAATTTTGTTTTTTAAACTACAGAGGTCAGATGCTGTAGTGAACTAAAATCAGACATAGACAATAGGAAAAAAAGAATGCAAGAAAATAGACTATATTAAGAGAGCTTAATTCTATCAAGGGGGGAAAAAAAAACCCAAACTAATCTCAACAAGAAATATAATAAATCTGAGTCCTAAATAGCTCCCAAATTGTCAATTCAAAGTTTAATACTTGTTTTATTTTTTTTGTTCATACCTTTACTTTTTTTAAATTTTATTTTATTCTATTCTTTTAGTCCCCATACAGTACATCATTAGTTTTTGATGTAGTGTTCCACGATTCATTGTTTTTGAATAACACCCAATGCTCCATGCAATACATGCTCTCCATAATACCCATCACCAGGCTAACCCATCCCCCCACCCCCCTCCCCTATGGAGCAGGGCTCCCAGTCCTACCTCCAGGTCGGGGCACTTCTCTGACCTTTGTGCTTCTAAAACCACCAGCCATTCCCGTTCGTACGCGAGACCCTGTCACTCCAGTTTCCATCAGGTGGGCTGCCCTAAAGTCCTTTCCCTGCTTCTACTAGTCTGCGAGCCTGTACCCCATCCCCAGCATGGGTGGCTACCACTCACCAGCAGTGTAGGATCCGCACAGCCAGGCTCCCTCCTGCTGCCATTTATCCTCGGATGTCTGCCTGCTGAATTACACCTCCCCGCTTTGTACCTTGAAACCAAGTACCTGCGATCTTCTGTTTGTAGAGATCCAGATCTTCTTACATCTCAGGCTGATTTCGTGGGTGCTCAGAGTGGTCTGGTAGATATCTAGCTCAATTCCGGGGACCATTTGGAATAGGGTCCCCTACTCCTCACCATCTTTTCCCCTAATCAAATAATTGACTTTCTCTGCTTGACTTTATTTCACTTAACATAATCTCCTCCAGTCCCATCCATGTTGATGTAAAAGTTGGATATTCATCCTTTCTGATGGCTGAGTAATATTCCATTATATATATGGACCACATCTTCTTTATCCATTCGCCTGTTGAAGGGCATCTCAGCTCTTTGAACATAAGGAATAGCATGGAAGACATTAGGAGAAGGAAGGGGAAAATGAAGGGGGGCAAATCAGAGGGCGAGATGAACCATGAGAGACCGTGGACGAGATATGTCATTTGCAAATATCTCTTCTCATTCCATAGGTTTCCTTTTAGTTTTGTTCATTGTTTCTTTCACTCTGCAGAAGTCTTTTATTTTGATAAGTCCCAAAATTTATTTTTGATTTAGTTTCCCTTGCCTCAGGAGACATATCTAGAAAAAAGTTGCTAAGGCTTGTGTCAAGGAAGTTGATGCCTATGTCTCTTCTAGGATTTTTGTGGCTTCAGGTCCATGATTAGGTCTTTAATCCATTTTGAATTTATTTTTATGTACAGTAATAAAGTATTTCTGTTTCTTTCTTTTATATGTTGCTGTCCAGTTTTCCCAACAAAATTTGCTGAAGATACCTTTTTTCCCAGTCAATATTCTTTCTTGTTTTGCTGAAGATTAATTGATGATATAGTTGTGGGTTCATTTCTGGCAAAGGATCAGAGAAAAATCTCCAGGAAAAAAAATGACACAACAAGTAATAAAACTTAAAATAAAATAAAAATAAATAAAATAAAATTACTAACATTTAAAAAAAGAAAATTTTGGTTAAAAAATTAAAGCCCACACTAAAAATAACACTTTTAAAACTTAAAGAAAAAAGATATATGAATATTATATGAGGAAGTATTATTGATTTTATATTTATTAATAGAAAAAGGGAAAGCTATTTAATTTCTAAATAGGAAAGAAATATCCAATTACCACAAATTGGCCCCACAGCTATAAAAAGGAAGGAAGGATGGAAGGAAGAAGGAAGGAAGGAAGGAAGGAAGGAAATGAGGAATGGAGACAGGGAGGGAGTGAAGGAGGTGGGTGGGAGAGAGAAAAGAAAGTGACAGAATAAGAAAAGAAAAGAAAGAAAGAAAGAAAAAAGGAAGAAAGAAAACCATATATATATATATATATATTATTCAGTCATAAAAAGGAATGAAATCTTGCCATTTGCAACAACATGGATGGAGCTAGAAAGTAAAATGCTAAGTGAAATAAGTCAGTCAGAGAAAGAAAGTAACATGAT